TTAAATATCTTTTTAATTATGTAATAATAAAAAATTCCTTATAAGTTAAATTATTTATGTTATGAAGAAAATTTGTCAAAGATGAATTGAATTAGCTACACACCCGTTGCGGGATTATATCCACTTGCCTTTAAAAATGGCGTGAGCTTAGTAACACATTCATCGTATCTAAGTTTCATGTTAAAAGATGTTCAGATATGTTCTAAATAATAATCGTGATTATTGAAACTTACTTCCACAAAACTTACCTATCCTTGGACCAACCGACTGTAGGATCATCCATTTTATTAATAACTACTACTAATTTGTTGACACCGGAAGTTTTTGCAAGAACAGCATGCTCGCGCGTCTGACCACCTCTTTCAAACCCAGTTTCAAACTCCCCTTTTCTTGCAGATATGACCTAATAATATGATAAAATGATTTATTGGGGTAAGAAAAATATGTTCTCAAGTTTTACTATATTCGAAACATTCGATTACGTGTGCGTGGTATTGAAGAGGAGGAAATTTCAACTGGATTTGTGGTTTGTTCGACTAAGCGACCGGTAAAGACGACAACCATGTTTGAAGCACAACTAGCTATTCTGGAACATAAAAACATTATTTGTGCTGGTTATAGTGCAGTTCTTCATATTCACTCTTGTGTAGAAGAGGTATCAATCGCGGTAAGTTTGAATAAATTGCGCTTCATATTTTGTTTTAGTGTAAAAAGATTCTTTTTTTCATTGATAACATTTTGCACATATAGGCGCTTTTACATCTTGTTGACAAAAAGACTGGAAGAAAGTCAAAGAGGCCACCGCAATATATCAAAAAGGGTCAAAAAGTTATTGCAAGACTTGAAACTCAAGGTCCAATTTGCGTTGAAGTGTTTGAAGAACACTCACAATTGGGAAGATTTACACTTAGAGACGAAGGTTTGTTTCTCTGCTATATGTATGACTCGTTATAGATTATTTATAAATTTTAATTTTGATTTTTGCTCTTGTATAATTTTTTATTAAGGAAAAACGATTGCTATCGGTAAAGTTACTAAAGTCATTGAAAATGAATAAAGGTTAGAACTAAAAATTGTTCATGTATAAACATGCGCTTTATAAAATAAAATGTCTCGTAAATCATCCTAATTAATAATAATTCTTTGTAAATAAAATTATTTATTCGACGCAATTTATTAGAAATTTATTTATTGATGACGATAATAATTTTTTTTTCATTTACCAAGCTTTCATTAAGAAATATCTTACCAGATGGACTCAAACAAGATATTAAAGCTAAAGTGATTATTGATAAATGTATAAGACGTATATTTTTATGTAAAGAAAGTGATGCATCTATTAGATTCACCATTATCATAAATGATGTTCTATTTCTTTATGCTGGTATCTAATTTTGAATGTTTTCATTGTTAAATTTTTCGTGAGAAAATTATGCCAATAAAAGGAAATTTTGACTAATTGTCAACAATTCTAAAATCGCTCTTACATGACAAATGTCGAATTGAAATAAATTGTCAAAATAATTATTTTCCTAAAGCTATCATTCATTCAATCTTTTTGAGACTATAATAGAGATGCTTACACAGTAATTAATATAAACTTATAAGGAATTTTTTATTATTACATAATTAAAAAGATATTTAAATGCTGAACTTGAATTTTATGCTGTTATAATCTCTATTCCTGACTGTAGTATGCACATGTATTTTAGAGTTTGAAAGAAAAAATAATTTAATTAAATTATTTTTTTATAATTCGTGCTGGTAAAAACTTTTTTTGAATTTTAAATATTGATAAAAACTTTTGACCAATTTGACCACAAATTCGACCAATTCGACAAGACCAAAGATTATTCAACAGCGAAAAGCAAATTTGTTGTCAACCGCTAATATGACCATCAACGCTTCTTAAAAAAATAATGGGTAATGAAGAAATATCCGAACTGTATCGTATTGCTGGGTATAAATATCAGTATGGTGTTGAAGTCCAAAAAAATATTCAAAAAGCATTCGAATGTTATAAAAAATCAGCTGAGTTTGGAAATGCCGATGTGGTATTTGAGGCATTTATTTGTTGCAAAACATCTGCTGAATTAGGAAACGCCGATGGGGTATTCGATCTCGGTTATTGTTATCAACATGGAATTGGAATTGAAAAAGATGAAAATGAGGCATTTAAGTATTATCTTAAATCTGGAGTGTTGGGAAATGCTGATGGAGCTTTTAAGACATTTATTTATTCGAAAAAATCTACTGAATTAGGAAATGCCGATGGGGCATTCAATCTCGGTTATTGTTATCAACATGGAATTGGAATTGAAAAAGATGAAAACAAGGCATTTAAATATTATCTTAAATCTATCGAGTTGGGAAATTCTAATGGGGCATTCAAGGCATTTATTTATTGCAAAAAATCAACTGAGTCGGGAAGCGCCGATGGGGCATTCAATCTTGGTTATTGTTATCAACATGGAATTGGAATTGAAAAAGATGAAAACGAAGCATTTATCTATTATAACAAATCAGCTGAGTTGGGAAACGCCGATGGGACATTCAATCTCGGTTATTGTTATCAATATGGAATTGGAATTGAAAAAGATGAAAACAAGGCATTCAAGTATTATCTTAAATCTGGCGAGTTGGGAAATACCGATGGAGCATTTAAGGCATTTATTTATTATAAAAAATCTGCCGAGTTAGGAAATGCCGATGGGACATTCAATCTCGGTTATTGTTATCATCATGGAATTGGAACTGAAAAAGATGAAAACCAGGCATTCAAATACTATAAAAAATCAGCTGAGTTAGGAAATGTCGATGGGGCACTCAATCTCGGTTATTGTTATCAACATGGAATTGGAATTGAAAAAGATGAAAATCAAGCATTCAAGTATTTTCTTAAATCTAACGAGTTGGGAAATGCCGATGGGGCATTCGAGGCATTTATTTATTGCAAAAGATCTACAGAGTCGGAAAGCGCCACTGGGGTATTCAATCTCGGTTATTGTTATCAACATGGAATTGGAATTGAAAAAGATGAAAACCAAGCATTCAAGTATTTTCTTAAATCTGCTAAACTAGGAAATAATAGAGGATTACATGAAATCGAAAATAATTATAATTTGTCTTTAATTACATATGATGAATTTAAAGATGTTGGAGAAATTGGAAAGGGCGGATTCTCAACAGTTTATAAAGCTCGATGGAAATATCAAAATCGATGGTTGTATGTCGCTCTTAAATTAATTCATAATCAAGAATTTATAAATGAGGTAATTATATAGTTTAATAATTAATATTTATAATTATATTTACTAATAAAATTTTATTCAGCTTAAGGCATATTGCGAAATTAGTTTTAAAAATCCATCATTTATAAAATTATATGGATTATCACAAAATAAAAACTCTGAAAGTTATGCTCTTGTATTGGAATATGCTAATAATGGTTCTTTATGTAATAATCTTAACATTATAAGTCAAATGAAATGGGAAGAAAAAATAGAAATTTTAAATTCCATTGTTTTTAATCTTGAAGCAATTCATTCTAAAGGATTTATTCATAGAGATCTTCACAGCGGCAATGTCTTACAAGATAATAATTTACTTAACGCATATATTGCTGACTTAGGACTAACAATTTCATTAAACAAAAAACAAAGTGAATTTTATGGGGTTATACCATATGTTGCTCCTGAAGTTTTACAAGGAAAACAATTTACACAAGCATCAGATATCTACAGTTTTGGAGTTATCATGACAGAAATAGCTAACGGAAAGAGACCATTTGATGGTGAACCATTTAATATAGAACTTTCACTAAGGATTTGTCAAGGAGAACGGCCAATATGTGTTCCGGGGACACCTGATATTTATATAAATTTAGCTAAACGATGCATGGACTCTGATCCTCAGAAAAGACCTACCGCGAATGAAATTAAGATTGAAATCGAAGATTGGCTTAAAAAATGCGAAAACTCATTTGAAAATGAAATTAAAAAGCAACTTTTAGAATCTGACAAGAAAAAACCTGAACTTATTGAGCAAAAACATCCCCAACATATGTACACTTCAAAGCTTATCAACACGCAAGAGATCACAAAGAGATTAGCAAACGTTAGTAAACCTATTGAAACTGAAATCGAGATTACTGACGATATGTAAAATTTTAATTTATATAAAATATTTAAGTGATAAATGAATCTGTAGCCATCTTGAATCTTTTACAGGATGGATCCCATCAAAAGCATTATCAGCTATGAAGATTCTTTTAAACTTCGGAATT